AAATAATATCAAAACAGCTAGTTTTGGCCCGTCCGTGGATGACAGAATGACATAAATCGAGATTGTAGAGGCTATAAACTCGGCGGTCACGTGGTAAGCACACCACGTGTAGAGATTAGTGTGCTGCCGAGCTACGCTCGGCAGCAATGAGAGTTGGCAGTCATGTGACCTTGGTTCGCTGTTCTTAATGCTTTCCCAACACTATCATGAAAGCGTAGAACACTCATCAAACCTTTCTTTTGTTAATCTAGAGCTCGAAATGTCCCCCGTGCAATGCGTGGCTGCCAACTCACATCAACTCTCTTCATCGTTTGACCAAGACTTATTTATTTTATTTACCCAAAAACAGGAAGGGCGCACCCACAGAGCCGAAGCTCCAATAACGGGTTCCCCACGTGAGTTGTAAAATACATAGAAATATTGTATACAAAGAGTTAAACACTAAATAGTGCATCACAACAAAAAACAACAAAAGTCATCGCATAATATAAAGAAAGGGCACTAGCAGCACAAAGTGTCACTGAGTGAATCCAAAGGACGGGCTTTGAGACATTTGACACAATCAGTCTTGTATGTGTGTGGCAGTTCTGGGTTATAAACATTAGAAGTTAATAAAAAATAGTAATTAAATAGACAACGTTTAAACGAAGACAATAAAGTTGAGTTTCTTAAAGATATTGGTAGAGTGTTCCACGTTCTGCATGCTCTGATATAAAAACTGTTTTGAAAGGTTACTGTTTTTGATTTGGTAATCTGAAGAAGGAGTCCTGCATGATGTAGAACTAGAGCGTCTGGTTACACGATTTGGTGAATTTAGTTTCACATTTTTGTCGGAATTTTCATAAATACATTTGAACAGACTTCAGTGTAGCAATCAGTTTCAAATTTTTTATGGTCTCAGATCAACTCACTTGAACGGTTCGGCTCCAAAGTTAAACTTGCAATGCTGGAAAGACATAAAACTTGCGGCGGCAAAAAATGCACCTCTAAATAGAGAAAATATATTTTTCATCATATCTGGAGATTAAATATGTGAAAGTAGTTTGTTAGATTCTAGCAAGTTCTTATTGAAATGTTTCATTGAACTCCCAAGCTCGCCTAATTCATATAAACTTACCTGTCTTTAGCTGGGAAATATCTTTCTATGGCTTCTCCGTTTAAATAAAATACAACCTTGTCTTCTTCAATGTTTAGTAACATCCCCAACACATCGTCTGTAAAGAAATCATAAAGACACAATATACACATTGTTGGATTTGGTAAGACACTCCCTTGCATCATTAGCCATTGCTAAGGTTGACACCCCTGCCACAGAATAAATACCATACAGAGGTCTCACTTATTAATTTCAGCGTAAGGGATTTTCCCAGTCCGCCATTTTCTTAACAAGTGCCCTAAAGAGAGGCCGTCACCCCCTGAAAACATATTGAAATGTAATGTTCCAGGGGGTGAATGCCTCTCTTTAGGGTACTTGCTAAGAACGTTTTTCTCGCGAAGTGAGACCTCTAGTGTATGATTAGTACTCTGTGCCCCTGCCCCTAGTAAATACATCTCTGTCCTACTTGAACCCTTCACGGAAGATTCTATTTTGAATGCATTGTACCTGGCTTCCATTTCGTACACGAGACTGGATGACTTTCTGCTTCAAACCATAGCAGCTGTCGACAACCATCAAATGCTATTGAATGGCAATCATCACCAATACCATACCCTTCCTTTGCACAAAAATATGATTGATCAGATTATAAAAACATAATTCCTAATATGTACAATCCTATCCTGTTTCTAATCCCTCATCCTACGCTTATTCTTGCGCCATCTCTTATCCGAATCCTGTCTCCTCTGCAGTCCCTTAGTATGTCACATATCAGTGACATTTATAGATCAGTGGCTAGGAAAAATCTTTTGTCCAGATCCAAATCTAATGCTATCGTAAATCTGTGTACCAAAGGTATTGAATGCGATATCATTTTGGGGCATCTGTATGGAAAGTCATCCGAAACTTCAATGTTACATGAATCGATAGAGTCCTTACATGGCTGAGAAATTTACTTTCTTTTGTGGCCCAACCAATTTGCATTATTCCAGAGGTCAATAAAATAACTTCATAGTACCATGTACCTATACAAATTTATAAGCATATGGTTACATGCAGTCAAATGTTTTCTGGTGTACCCAGGGACGCCGGAACGATAATAGGGCAAAGGGGGTCGGACGCACACCAAGGGCACCTTTACGGAAAAATTTTTTTTCACTGCAAAATTTTTTGGCGACCCCCCCCCCCCACCCGTCGCCAAAAAAATTTCGGTCAGTGTACCATTTTAGGGGTCAAAAAAATTTTCCGGACATACAAAAATTTTCCGTGAAGCCAAAAATTTTTCCGGATATCTTAAATTTTCGCCATTTCTTCAAAATATTTTTCTAAATTCCAAAAATTTCCCAAAATTTTTATAATTATAAACTATAAATTACCTGAATCTCGTGATTTTCCTACAAAAAGCATCGTTGGAAATGTGATTTATCACGTATTATTTTACAACTAAAAGGGCACTTCTGCCCCCCCTAGCAAAAGGCAAGGGGGGCAGCCGCCCCCCCCCCTGCCCCCCAGTTCCGGCGTCCCTGGGTGTACCTACCGTTGGACAACATTGGCACTTTCCCTAGTTTGCCCACCATCGCAAAACATGGCTAACAAACAATGTTTCCAAGTTTGTCCATCTTCGGAAAACAATGGCTAGGAAAGAATGCCTCCTATAGTTCGCTCACCTTTGGGAAACATGGCTAGGAAATAATGTTTGCTGGTTTACCTTCCATTGAAAAACATGGTTAGGAGACGATGTCTCCTAGTTTGCCCACCTTCGGAAAACATGGCTAGGAAACAACGTTTCCTGGTTTATCTTCATTCGGGAAACATGGCTATGAAACAATAGCTACAAAACAATGTCTCCTATAGTTTGCCCACCTTTGGGAAACATGGCTACGAAACAATGTTTTTTAAACAATGTTTCCTAGTTGGTCCACCTTGGGAAACGGCTTGGAAATAAGGCATCCTGGTTTGCCAAAGATGCTAAGGAACAACTGTTCCACAACAAAGCTCTTACTTAGTTTGGTAAGTTTCCTTAGGCTAAACATACCTGATGTGACAGAATACGTTGATCTGACACTTTCAAACGAACACGCGTCACTCCTTGCCTAAAAATGTATTGAATTAATTCTAAAGTAAAGTGCATTTTGGTCAGTAAACTTGGTAATTGGTTTAGTTTATAAATCACTGTAGTTCTTAGGGCCTACCTCCAAACCATGTGGAGATATTTTAAGATACGTGCTAACATCGTTCACATTCAACATTGCATTAATGCCATCCAGATTCGAGTTCTCGTAGCTGTATGGTCGGTCCTATAAAAAATTCATTAAGCGAGATAAGAATTTGTATTCGATGGTTGTAGCTCTTCAAATTTATCGTGTACCGCTATTTGTACGAAACATATATTAGGAATAAGAGTTGCTGTGGCTTACCTTAAGAGGAACTGTAGAAAAAAATAACAGAGTATTAGATGTGTAAAATGAGGTATTGGATATTAAAATCTGAGTACGTTAGCCTCTCAATAATGTCGACGACTTGTTGACAACTTGCTACAAGGTTGCTTAGCTCAACAGACTTGTTACAAGTTGTTCCAACAACTTGTTATCGTCCTGCAATTCAACAACTTGTCAGCAAGTTGTGAGTGACAAGCTTGTAGCAACTTGATAAAATAACAACATTGTTACAACTTGTTGCCAAGCTTGCTACAAGCCTGTTGCAAGCACATCTTGTTGACAAGTTGTGAGATTTTTACGTGTGTACTCTGACGATAGTTACGACCATATGGCAACAAGGGTTAACAGTTTAAGACAAGGAGTCCGCGACATCTTTTTGCGCTGAGTTTTGTATTCTTACATGAATTATCGAGACACCACTGCGCACAAAATCCAGCTTGATGTTCCACAACATTGTGACTGTTTAACCACGTTTTTTCAAGTTTCACGAGTTGCTCAGATATCTTTGTAGATTTTATCTTTTCTTTATTTTCATCTAAGAAATAACGCAAATAAAGCATTCCATATCGGTTTTGTTGCAGAAATCCGCTAAAGACGAGTAAGGCCCTGTTTCAAACCGTCGAGCTTCTCATGTGCCAAATGCATTAGAAAACAATAGAGAATGAGGCATTTCAGTTGATTATTTATTGTTTTTAATGCGTTCGGCATATAAAAAGCGCAACGTTTGAAACAGGCCTAAGAAGTTTTGTTTTGTCATGATAGTGTTTAATGCCATATTTATACACATATACTATAGTCCTAGACTCATAAACGGATCAGTCGGCAATTCCGTCTCTTCTAAGACTAAGTCCGCCAACGTACTTGTTTTTGCAAACTTCTCGAGAGTAATTATGGAAAACAGGACGACAGAAGGATGTTCTTTTAATGTCTGGAAAAATACAAAGTTTTTGGTAAAGTGTAACTTGTTTGCGACAGGAAAATACAGTTTCAAAGAAATTATTATTGTTACCAATTTGGACAGTAGAAACTGCAGAACTTCCTCTCGCATCAACCAAACGCTCTGATGACCTAGAAAACGTGTTATACAGATTACTGTCTAGAAATAACCGAAACAGAAAACGCATCAGGAACGTCTCTGGAAAACGTTCTTCAGTGCGTTCATTTTACGATTCTCTGGCTGCGTTCCAACTTTCACAATGCTTCAGAATGGACGCATTTCGAATGTACATGTGGAAAGCGTACGTAGGGGCACCGGTGTAAACAGTGCGGGGATAATAGGACTACACTTCGAAAATTGTTCGTTATTCACATGAATTGAACACTGTTTTCATGCTATTTAGCTTTTGAACCTGAAATTCCTCTTAGAAACATATCATTCCTCATTATATCATACTTTTCTGTCATTTGAGATTGTACTGGTAAGGTGTATGCAGTATCGTGAAATTTTCCATTGCTTTTATGCACTCTTGAAGGGTATTTGAAAAAGCTAAATTATTCAGGATCTGAGGAACAGTTTTTCCATTCTCTTCAGCAGTAAGACAAGAATATAGTTTGACAGAGAGGGGAGGGGGGGGGGGAGAAAACCACCAACAGTAATCCTGGAGAACCCCCCTAACCATAATTTTTTACCTGCCAATTTTTCTGCCAACCTTCCCAACACAATGGCAATATTTCTTTGTGCTGTACTTGTATTGGAAATTTTAGTTTCTGGAGAATTTGATGTTTCCTCTGATGTGAGACCCAAATATGACAACAGCGAATACATTGTATCCTAAAAATAGGATGACACGATAGCATGTTTGGAAGTATTGTGCCCAATTATTCTATTGAACCATTTGGGTGAACCCAGAAAAGAAAAGATATTTTGTTTGATAATTAATTTGTTTGAACAGCCTGATTTGTGTGTTCACTTGGCTACATTTATACACAGATGGGATATTTTTTTCCAAAATTCCATCAGATGGCTCGCATCTCTAGCTTAATTTAGGCCAATGTGTTTGTATGCTGCACAAAAATGTTCATATTTTATAAGTTTTGTTACCTTTGGTGCTAAAGAGCATTCTTCCAACAATATTGATATAACAGCTGGGCCAAGGTCATTTTCCAAAGGTATCATTTTAACACATGCCAGCACTATATCTAGCCATCCATTTTCTGAAATTGAAAAATTACTCGTTTTGACTCCATGGACATAACTTACAGGTCAGTGACGTAGCCAGGATTTCTAGGCAAGGGGGCCCAACCAATTTTACCCTGCACTAGTTTGAATATAAAAGGGTGAGAAATTTGAAGTATCCCTGGCCAATATCCACACGATCTGTTAATGTTACATACTGATCACTTTCTCTCTCAACAAATACATCTACCTACCTGTTTCTGCAATTTCATGGAGTCTTTTCAAGCAAGGAGGAGGCTCTTCTATACTAAAACACATTTATCAAGTAGATTGTAAGAATTGGTACATATGCTTTCGTGTGAATGAGCATGGTCTGTCAATGTGGTTTACCTGACCACACCTTACTGGGTACCACAGCTTAATTTCACACCAATTACTTTAACCCCCCTACCCTGACACAGATGTAGTCTTCCTATCTTTTTTGTCCTAATTGTTTAACATTCACTGGATGAAATCTATTTGTCAACAGGCAGTGTCTAACACTTTGCAAAATATTGGGAAGTGGGCACATTTATGTTTCTATCATTGAACATTTGTTTGAGCTTTATTACATGGTTTATATTCAGCTACAATTTAAAGGCTGTCCCAAATTATTGGTGGAGGCTTGCCCCCCCCCTTTTTAGACAAAATCTTACCCCCTTTAAAAATGAAGAACATTAATGATTCTTTGAAGGTTCGCATGCCATGGAGATATTAAAAGAACACTGTACATACAGGTCCGACACTGAACCTAGAGCTAATTCTGAAAACATTCTCATCCCCGGGCACTTTCAATTGATATGCTGTCCTGTGAAGAACATGTGGTATGACGTCTGCAAAGTAGCATGAGTTGGAGCCTGTTCTGAAAACTAAAGACCCATTCAAGCGAGGCCAACATGTTGGCCAGTTGACATACTGTTGGCCTTGTTTGACATTACTATGTTGAGTAAAATGTTGGTTGGCCAACGTTGGATTGAATTTGAACAGGGCTGAATTAAACGTACACCTGACATAATCCTATTAACCGAAAAGGGTAAAAACTAGGAAGAAAAAAAGTTTAAAAAAAAGATTAACAAATAATAGCGCAACCGCGATTCGAACCCAGAGCTGGCGCGTACAAGGTGACCCACATTGCCAGGGGCTGGTTGTATAAAACTCTTGATCACTTTTTTAATCACTATTTTGTAGTTAAATAGTGATTAACTCTCAAATACGCGCTTCTTATTGGATGACGTTTCCACTAATTTATAGTTAACTTTAATTACTTTTTTATACAACCGGCCTCAGAAATTCAATGAAATTTACGTGTCGGACTCGGTCTGCTGCTCCCACTTCCGTAAATAAAACACCACTTTATTTATTTCACAATAAATTATTTATTTAGGAAATAAATAAAGCCGTTTAACTTGTCACAAAATCAATTAAATATAGATTAATAGTTTCCTTTGTCTACCTTTCGGTAAGTTTGCGAATTGCATCAAGCATTTCTAGAACCAAACACTCTACATTCGAGTTGCTATCACGGTCAATTGAAGGCCGCTCACTTCCTCTAGCCTGACATATATCTTCTTCGTCAAATTTTACGATATTTCTGCTTTCTTTGCTCGAGGAACGAGAAAGTCGCGATGTAGTTCTTGCTTCGTCTGCTGCATGATGATTTCTACTCCTGCAACAACCCATGTGTTGAAATTTTTGACCAAATATAAAGTAGCATTATTTCTCCTGTCCAATTTTCCGTAGTACTACATCTCTATAAACAGACTTGTCCTACATAGCTACCAATTCCTTCTATAATTCAATCATTTTTATTTTTTATTTTCGTTTTAATGTTGATACAAAATGTTTCTATCAAACCGACACAATAGCTATTCTGTGACAATAGCTTTGTAATTTAATATTCGAATCAATTTGACAGTATTCTAAAATGTCAACATATTATTTGCATAAATATGCAATATTTGTTAAATAACAATTTATAAATCTGATAAAATTATAATACATGAATAAATTATAGTATATTAATAAATTATAGTATATATGAATAAATTAATATATTCATGTCTATTTCTGCCGTGATTTGTGGTGGGCGATACTGCGAATATCGATTTAATACAGGATTTAATACAAGGAATAAAATATAAATTTATGGTTGAATTATAAATATATCTCAATAAATTTTAAATTATTCACACAAAAAATAATTAAATCTAAATAAATTATAGAATAAATGAGGGCCACAAGTTTTTCAGCCCCTGGCTGTAATGTGTTTTTACCCTCGTGAAATAAAGTTTTAATAAATAAATAAATACATGCATAATTTGAAATTTAAATAAATTATAATCTGAATTAGCAGAATATTTTTAAAATATCTGTGTCATAAATTTGCATAATCATTTGCGTATTTGAGCCCACGGAATACTAACAACATTTCCCAATACTTGGAGTAACAACTGCATATAATTCGAACACTTTGGAACAAGCTGGTGGTGTTGATTTATCCGATGATTTATCTATATGATGGTTTCTACAAAACCAGACATATTTTTGGGCCTTGATTTAAGCACTCAGCAACTAAAGGTTATTGCAGTGGACAACAAACTATGTATTATCCATGAAGAAGTAGTTAATTTTGACAAAGACTTGCCAGAATTCGGGACGCAAGGTGGAGTGAAGAGACATGAAGATGCTCTGACCGTCACAGTACCTGCGCTTATGTGGGTGAAGGCTTTTGATTTATTGCTAGAAAAAATAAAATATAAAGGATTTTGTTTTGAGAATGTTGCGTGTATTTCTGGTACGGGACAGCAACATGGTAGTGTTTACTGGAAAATTGGATCGAAGACTTTTTTGAATAATTTGGATCCAAATAAAGGTCTCCATGAACAACTAAAGGTATTGAGAAAGAATTATTTAACAAGATATGGTGGGTGGGAGAGAACAAAGAATGGGAATAACCTTAAAGAGAAAAATATATCTCTTGTGTGTGTGTGTGTGTGTGTGTGTAAGGGAGGGGCAGGGCCAACCCTCAAACAGAGTTGCCCCTGTGGATGAGGGCAAGGTGTGCCCCAATATAAAAGCTGTTGAGAAGCTGTAGAGCAAGCCCCCCCCCAAAAAAAAAATGGGGCAAGTGTTACCCCAATGACAGAAGACTAGCTTTTGTGGTGAGGAGAAGGAGTAGGGATAACCCACCCTAGCCCCCAATTTAAGAGCTGTGTCCTTATGGGTGGAGGGCAAGGGGAGTTTCATAAGACAATGTCCATGTGATATTCATATCAGCACACTTTATCCTGTTATTATTCTGTTTTTCTTTCACTACTTTTCTTTCCTTACATAATTTTAGCACCATCATCCTCTCCTTGAAATGGATATTGGTCTGTGATTAAATTTCAATCTTGTATAATTCCCTTTTTTCAAAGGATTACTTTGCAATTGAAGATTCTCCAATCTGGATGGACTCCAGTACAACTGAACAATGTCGCTCGATAGAGCAAGCTGTAGGTGGTGCTCAGGCACTTGCAGAAATCACTGGTTCTAGAGCTTATGAAAGATTCACTGGAAATCAAATTGCTAAAATATATGAAACGAAACAAGCCTCATATGAAGAATGTGAATGTATATCATTAGTAAGCAGTTTCTTGGCTTCCCTGTGCCTTGGTGACTTTGCACCAATTGATTATAGTGATGGTTCAGGAATGAATCTCATGAATATTTATACAAAAACCTGGGATCCAGCATGCTTACAGGTATATCCTAACTTAACTTGTGGTGTGTATTCATTTTGACCTACTCTATTACCCATTCTGGCATGGTGATTAATGCATATACCTCCCTGTGAACATTTCCAAAATTACACTCTCAAAAACATTGGGGGGGGGGACCACTCCCTCGGTGGTGCCACTGGTGCCTTGTATTTCAGTTTTGATTCTTGTAAACACTTGCACTAACCTCTGTTCCCACAACAACTGATTAATTAATGCATATTCCTTACACCTCTGTCTGTGACCAGAGTTTGATTTCTGCAATATGCAATTATCTATTAATTGAAATGTCACCTCAGTTGTATGTAAGAAGTGTACTCTTCCAGTTTGACCCTACCAAAGGCTAGGGGTGTCGGAGCAGCTCTAGAAGTGGGCGGGGGACACAAAAATGGAGGGGGCCCAAAGACATTTAGGCCCCCAACTAAAAAAGTGGGGCCTTAGGCCCCACTTCCAATGCCCCTGGGCCTAAGGTAGTTTGACATTTTTTGCTTAATTAAACATCAAATTGTTTAATATCTGTATAAATGGTAGATGTGGTACCGGTATTGATTGGTGAAGCCTGCTACTGTAGGGTTGAGGGCAGAGACTTGCTTTGGTTACTATTATTACTGAACCAGTGGTGCAGTAATGGAGAACCTTCTCATTTTGGTTGTAAAACCTGTTATGACTCTCTGTTCATCTCAGAGGGCTGAACACAGTAAAACTAAAACTCAGTAACCAAGGAAACTGTATATCTCTATCTAGGCTTGTGCGCCAAATTTAAAAGAGAAATTAGGAAACCTTGTTCCATCATCAGCAAGGATTGGTTTTATCTCAGACTACCTCAGCGCAAAATATGGCTTTCCAAAATCTTGTGAAATTGTAGCATTCACTGGTGACAACCCCGCCTCGTTGGCTGGAGTTCGTTTGAAGAAGAATGATGTGTGTATTAGTCTTGGGACTAGTGATACGTTGATGCTTTGGCTTAACACTCCAAAACCAGCTGTTGAGGGGCATATCTTTGTTAACCCTGTCAATGGTAGGTTACACAGTGTTATATAGCACAGAATACTACAGGGTGTTCCTCTTCCTCCCCGCTTTCTAGTTACTAGATGGATAGAAATACTTGGTACAAGTCGACCCTTTTCGGCATTTATATATGAGATTGAGCTCAAATTTCTTAAAGCGCGGATTTTTACTATAGCGTTGGGGGGTTTCCTCGCTGCGCTCACACGGCCTCACTCATTTTACTTCTTATGCCAGACAAGTTACAAAGACAAGTTACAGACAAGGGGGGTTATATTTGGAGGTTTACCGTATATTACTATCAAACATTTCGTATATCCTAGCTGAATCATACAATTCCGTGAACCAAAAGAAATACAAACATACAGTATATAATTACAATCTGTGCATTTTAAATACTGTAATCAAATTTTTGTCGCTCGTCATGAGCTGTTGGAATTGCTGTCGCTCCCAACGCTGTGTTATTAACCAATGGGCTTAGACAGACACAAAAAAATAGAAACACACGACCGTTTCGATGTGCTCCGTTTGTTCCGAAAACATTTTGACAAGCACCATTAAATATACTAACCGCTCACACGTTTTTTTCGCTGCATTTTACTTTTTTAGAGAATGCTTACATGGCTTTACTGTGCTTCAAAAATGGTTCCCTAGTACGTGAATCTATCCGAGATAGATGTTCAGAAGGTTCTTGGAAGAATTTTGAGCAAAGCTTAAAAGCCAGTAAGCCAGGAAACGATGGCAATATTGGTATATATTTTGATGAAACTGAAATAACGCCTTTTGCGCAAGGCATTTACAGATTTAATAAAGACGATGTTGAAGTGAAATCGTTTTCCAATGATGAAGAAATAAGAGCGTTGGTGGAAGGTCAGTTTTTGGGCAAACGCGTTCATGCAGAGGCTCTAGGTTACAATTTAGGTGAGTGTAATGGATAAATCTTATATCAACGAATGTGTGATTTCAGTGGAGCTGGGAAAACTAGAAACATTGTTGCGGAAACATCTGAAACTTTAACAAATGTTTCCTTTTTTGCCTTCCTTGGAGAATCATGGCTAGGAAACAATTTTTCCTGGTTTGTCCACCTTTGCGAAACATGGCTCGGATGTCGGAAACAATATTTTCGGGAAAAATATACAATGCAACACAATCCGAGGATTAGCATCTCTTGAAACTCAAGATATGATCAAAACAAGACGAAAAGTGAAGACTAACTGATGTTGTAACGATGTTTTCTGGTTTGCCCACCATTGGAAAACATAGCTAGGAAACTATATGTTTCGATTTTTGCCTACATTTGGGAAATATGGCTAGGAAACATTTCTGTTTTCCTAAATTATCTTCAAGAAACAGGACTAGGAAACATTGCTTCCTAGTTTGTCCATGTTTGGGAAATATGGCTAGGAAAAATGTTCTCTATAGTTTGTCCTGGGCATAAAAGTAAGCATGCATAAACTTATATCGATGTTTTACTTTCCAGATAAAAACTCTCGTATTTTGGCAACAGGTGGAGCATCCAAGAACCAAGCGATTCTTCAAGTGCTATCCGACATTTTTCACGCCCCGGTTTATACCATTCCTGGGACAGCTAATTCAGCATGCTTAGGGTGTGCTTACCGCGCCAAACATGGGTGGTCTGGAACGAGTAATGCAAACTATAATGATATATTTTCTGAAAGTGAAGAATATGAATTAGCTGTAATTCCAAGTGCGGAAACTAAGGATTTGTATGAGAAAATGGCGAAGAGATACAAACAATTGGAACAACGTATTGCCAATTGATAATGGTTCCTCCTTTCAGCTAGATCATTGCGTTGATTGTACTATTGACCGAATTCTGATTTTTCAAACCCTTCAAATGCGTAGCTAGATCGTTGTAAGACTTGTAAAGATAGGAATCCTACAATAAGTGGAAAAGAACTTCCAGTCATAAGTACAAATCTTTAATCAAATCACAAATTTATTTCCGTAGGGTAACGTCTTCAGTGATATATCACTGACATCAATGAGGGTCCTAACATTGAACTATAAATAAACTGGAAGGCTAACTCAGGGGGGGGGATTGAAGCCAGTGCATTTTAGTTTTTCTGAGTTATGAGGAGAAATACTCAACACTGAACGTTGGGCTATATATCAAATTGAAGCTATTGAAAAACGCTATTTGGTGTAGAAATTTCAAGACTTTAGCTAAAAGGGAAATATTGAAAAACTACAAACATAATTACCGATAATTTGCCGTTTTGCAGTTGTTTTTGTATTTTTTAAATATTTTTCTTTTCGCTGAAGTCTTGAAATTTCCACACCGAATAGCAATTTTCAATAGCTTCAATTTGATATATAGCCCGACGTTTGGGGTCAAGTATTTCTGCTCATAACTCAGAAAAACTATTTTGGCTTCATGAAATCATAGGCCTTCATCATAGCAGTTAGCCTTCCAGTTTATTTATAGTTCAATGGGTCCTAATCAGAGTTACGATAATAATCGGTGATTTTAGAATCGAACTTGTGCCGTAGGTTCGATTCCTACATGCCCGTTTACACTTGCAATTTTTGCTGCGATTTTAGGTGCGATTTTCTTCTTTTGATGTATGTGAACGAGTGGATGAGTTAGGAATGTTTAGATGAGGGTACACTCCTCAGAGCATCATAACTCATGTACTCGTTCACATCCATCAGAAGAAGAAAATCGCACCTTACCAGAGGGCATATAGTTGCATTTTTCGCAATTGCTCCACTTGGAATGTCGATCTACAAAACCCTTCAACAAGTTGATCTCATATAACAGACTGGATAGCGCACTATCTTTTGATCGTAACCCAGATCACAATCGTATGGCATCTTTGCGCAATTGCGCTATTTGGGCGCTTCGGTCAGGAAAACGTTATTTCGCTCACCAGTCAGAACTCAATGCCTCAGAATGACATTTCGTCAAAACGTTTTTCTTCAAGATTGGTTTGGAAACAAATTTGGAGTAGGGTTAGGTTAGGATTAGGATCAGGGATTCAGGGTTAGGGTTAGAGTTGGTTTTTGGAATAGGGTTAGTGTTAGTAAAACCGTTGCATTGTTATGTTTTGTCACTCTGAGGCCAGCGAAATAACCTCTTGTTCAGTTCGGTGTGCGTGGAAATTGGAGTCCGCGCATGTTGTCCCGCGCGCTCTCCGCGCGACGGTGTGTCAATTCAAAGCGCCTGGGTACGATACTGGAGGGTACTCGGGTTCCGGTATCCCATATTTGCCGCCATCTTGATTATACAAGTTTGTCTCGGAAAAGTTTGCTCTCTGAACTGTTGCTTTGAAACCGTTTTTTCACGATTAATTTTATGGTTATCATCTGTTTTTCTTCATAGAAAGGTAAATTTTTATATAAAGGAGCCATTCCAGCTATTTAATTAAAGGTAAAAGTAAAATAAAGTGTACATTTTTGAGCAACCGACACGGTGATATTTTGCCGTGATATTGGTTGCTTGTGCACGTGGTTTTGATAACCAGAAATATTATTTCATGTTATTGTGCTAAAATATGCAAAGCACTGTGTATGATGGTTGTAGTTCAGAATTTGACATATAACATGACTGTCATAACATAATACGCACTTGTTTTGCCGTTTATAAGCATTTCATTGTGGCTTATAGACTTTCACCCAAGTGCCAGAGAATAATGGGGAGAATTATTAGCAGTTTGCCTTTTGTAATGGCTGACTGTCAGTCATCTTCCTGACATTTACTGTGTTAATTAATGTAGATTAGTGAAACAGTGGTTTGGTGTAGCAAGTAAAAATCATCTGGTATTAGACAGAGTAAAATAATAAAGTAGAGTGTATTAGGGGAGCATAACAACCTAAATGGGTTAACTAGACACTTGGGCAGATAGTCTGTTTAACCCATCGAGTGCCAGTCTCTCCTCTTGACAAGTACAATCATCTAGTCTGGAAAGTTTGGAAATTGCGTGCCAGAGATCTCAAAAATTTAAAGGTAAATGTATAGAAAGCATCCAAATTTGTCCGGCCGATATCTCCGCCGCGCGATACAAACTTTCCACACTGGCTGGTGTTGACAGAATAGGTGGTATGCAAGTTATGTGACCATCAGTCTGTCACCATGTTGGATGACATTGACAAAGGATTCTGCTTGTTTGCAATGCAAATATCACCCAACATGGTGAAAATCTCTTTGTCCTTTGAATCCCATGGGAGTGGTTGCACATCACCTATACACAAATAAGGCAGGGTGCACCATAACAAAATCAAAAGAATCCTACAACTTTATGTTCTATTATTATAGGAGCGTTTTATATAATTGGTACCAATAAGAACCACCATGAGTTCAGACAGACATGAAGACAGGAAGGACCGTGATCATAGAACTGGTCGACCAAATGACACAAACCGCAATGACAGTAAATCCATCCGTTGCCGAGTATTTGTTGGCAATTTAGCAACAGAGGATCTTTCTCGGCAAGAATTTGAAGAAGTCTTTTCAAAGCATGGTCGTGTTATTGGTTGTTCTGTCCATAATGGTTATGGTTTTGTCCAGTACGAGAAAGAAAGCAGTGCAGATACAGCTGTTGCAAAACAACATGGTACCACAATCAAGGGAAAAAGAGTTGGTATGTAGTTACAGTAACAAGTCATTAAATATCTCAAGTTTTGACTTACCTCCAACTGAATGCTACTGTTTACACTCCTGACTTACCCAGCTCACACTCATTGATCTGTGGGTTTCCGGTTTCCCCACCCTACCTGAACCAGTTCAAAGTCGATGATATTTGATGAGAGTTCATAGGAGTCGATGAGAGTTGGCAGTCAAACGCGAGCAAGAGTTGCAACTCTTGTTAACTCTCACCCTCATTTGACCGATGCTTAAGTCTATACTAAAAAGGTGACATTGAGGCTGCCATTGATTGAAACTTAATTTATCTTTAGATGTAAATTTGGCAGGTGATAGAAGAAAAACAGAAAAACGACGTCCCCCACCTCCTGCTGGAAGAGGAAGGGGACATCCTGGTGATCGACCACGGTAATAACTTGTGCTTGTGATGTTAGTCCTCAAATAATCATGAGAAATTCACAAGAAATTTAATTTTCCATTAATGGGTTTAAGTTTTGAATGGTTTTTAAAGATTTACCATCAAGAAACCATGGGGACACTGAACTCTTACCATTCATGGTAAAACTGAAGTTTTACCATTATTGATTATTATAAGTTCCCTGATCGTAACCAATGATGTTTAATTATTTATCATTGCTGGTATTTCAAAATATTTTCCTGTGGAAAGTAGTCTAAATTGTATATAAATTTTTGTTCAAAAATTGGCATATATTAATAGTCTTATAGCTCACATTTGGTGCACTTGTTTTGCCGTTTGTAAGTTGTGTATGGTTAGCTTACAAACTTTCACCCAAGTGCAAGATAAAAATAGGGAGAATTATTAACAGTTTGCCTTTTGCAATGGCTAACTGTCAGTCGTCTTCCTGACAATTACTGCAGGGTTTGGTTTTAATGGGTTTTTGAAATAGTGAAAAATGCAGATCACTTCTCCTTTGAATAGTGTGCAAACTTTACTTTCCAAATTAAGTCCAAATTTTGCTTTGTATTTTTGTTACCTATATTATTTTTGTACTAAAAGTTTGTAAAAAGAAGAGTGTCACTGAAATTCTTTTAGAACCTGCAATAGAAAGTAACAGTTGCCAGACTATTTTACTTGCCAAAGGGAGAGCCCCATAGCTCAATGGGTAACCTGAAGTTCAGGCCCTATTACAGAATAGGGCCTGACACAAAACCTATCTAAACTGTGGGATTCCCGTCCACCTGGTGGACGGGAAATCTGATTGGTTGATCAGCATCATGAAGGATTTTGATTGGTTGCAAGTTTACATAAACAACAGTTTTAAAAATAGCTCGGTCAAAGGCAACAATTAATAATATAAAGGTCAAACGCACGTAACAAATTCCATTATTGATTTCTTCGAATTTCTTTTCTTTTATGCTTTATGGCAGAAACAAACAAACAGTATTTTGAAAGGGCTTTATCAAAATCTTGGACGAATTTTGGAGACACGATGCTGAAAGAACAGCCAAACTAGTCGTGTATTCGAAAGCTTGTTGTTGACAGCCAAGCCGTTCTGCCAACTGGCTTCGCCGGCAAAAGTCTTATTTTTAATATCAGGTCCTACAGGCGTTGTTTTCTGAGCTACATCGCCTTCTTCGTGGTACGATTGAGAAATTCATTGTTGCTGTTGTTAGCCCGTTAGAGTATATCCGCATCCAGCAAGTTGAGAATTGAAACCATGAGAAAGCTTGGCAGTCAAGCCGTGCACAGAACTGACTAATTAAATATTTGTTTGCTGTTCGGTTAAATAGAGAAATTGACTCTTTATAATTATATAAAAGTACCTTGAATTTTTAAGTTTAATTATAAAGCAAAATGCAAACTCTGCGAACATGTTCATGAGAATATAATTTTTTTGTGTAACGAAATCTACAACACTTGTCAATCATATTGCATGTTGTGTCTAAAAATAACATGTGGGCGTCCCACAGTCTAGATAGGTTTTGTGTCAGGCCCTATTTCAAATTAGGGCCTGAACTTCAGGTTACTCAATGGGTTAATCAGACTATCTACATGTACCCATGTGCAGGCCTTAAAATATCTTTTACAGGGCCGTCTGACAAAATGTCCGGTGACGTTGAGTTTGGGTCGGACATATGTCCGATGACCTTCAGTTCAGTTTTGGCTCGGAAATAAGTCTGAATGACACAAATTAATAAACGGTAATTGTTGTAAAGATATTAAATAATTAGTTTCTTTCATACTTATTTCCAAGCCAAAATTAACTTGCTTGCCAGAACAGCAGTGTTAAAAAAAGACTTCTTCGACAACTTAAGCCCGTTTTCCACTTCACCATTTCGCTCGCCGCCCCGCGCTCGACTACGTTAAAACAACATTTCCAGTTCCCCTTTTATACAATAGTACTCTGATTTTCCATTTAACATACAAGCCTCTAGTCGTGGGCTAGGGTATATTTGATTTACGTCGGACAAAGCTACAGTTTGGTCGGACACCAATTCACTTGGGTCGGACAAACAATAAACCTCAGTTTCACTTTGGTCGGACAGAATGTCCGGTGGTTTCCTCTCTACGTCAGACAATTTCATGAATGGGTCGGACAATGTCCGTGACCGACCGATATTTTAAGGCCTGATGTGTTTAGTTAACTTAAGTTGCATTATGCCCCAATGCACCCTATTTTATCATTTTATTCTAATGCCAGATAATTTTACTCATCAAGTGGAGAGTGCTAGCGCTCAAATATGTCAGTCAGATAACAATAGGGGCATTCCATGTAAACAATACACTACAATTAATGCCTACTTCGAATATATTCTTGTCAGTGACCGTTCACCATCACCAAAAGGAGGCAGACATACAGGTGATGATCCGTTTGCAATACCTGGCTACAGAGAAGCTCGAGATCGCTACAGAGATGAACATTCTGATCCTGATAGACCTGCTGACTCTCCATATGGAAGACCACATGATGAGGTGCCAGCCAAGAAGTTAAGGCCAGACTATGACTTTGCCCCACTCTCCCGAGATCCTATTCCACCACCCATTGGCAAGCCTGTTGAGGCACCCATTGATTGTGAAATTATTATAATCAACAAACAGCAAATGTATGTTTGATAATTTGATTTTAGTATTTTTTTACTGATTGAATGCCCATATGACACTGATTTTCTAAAAATATATGTATTCTGTTTATGATTTCCAGGGCATATGCAGAATCTGTAGAGAAGAAATTAAAATCTCATGGTTTGGTTGTGGAGTGTGCTCACTTGCCTGAAACAGTTCCACTTCTTGATGAATTAGACGATGCATCCAAACGTGGGGTACTGTTTGGAATCATTATAAGTAGCCAACATGAAGTACATCGTTCTGTAACGGTTCATATCTTACATGGAACACAACAAGGTAAATTTTGTGGTCATGTGAATTGCACATGGGCAAACATATGCAGTCACATGATAAACATAGTGATTGAATGTATGAATGATACACAAAACTTATTCAGAATGAATATATTATGGAAAAGTTCTAACTTAGCTGGATCCCCAAAATGTATGATCCCCAGTCATTTTGGATTTAACATTATTGTTAGGGAGTTGTTATCCATTATTCCGGACCGGGAGTGCAAACCTAGAATAAAAAGGTGGCACTTTCCTTCAGAAAAAGTCCACATCAACCAGTCTATACTAAACTTTGCCAAATTTATGGCATTTTTGACAAAAGTATTAGATGGGAGTAGAGGGGTGTGTCCTCTCTAATAAATGAGCTGTGATGCGCCCTGGTTTGAAAATGTTTACAATCGCTCATTAGTTTTGTGTTGCTTTATATGGTGTCGATTTATTTTACCTTTTTGATGCATTTTCTGAACTGTTTTGCAGCCAATTTCGTAGGGCTACCGGCTACGGTAATTTTCTATTTTTTTAATGTGAATTTTGCAGTTTTTATGTCAAATGGGTTCTACAGTTTGTCACTTTTGTGGTTTTGAATTTTTATGGTTAATGTTCATTGTGTGCATTTTGGATATTAATTCGAAGCAGAGTTCCAACCTTGAATTTTTCATACTTTGAGGGAATTTGCAAGGAATTTAAATATCGTAGGAACGTTTTTCGGTATTTTTTCCCGTTTTTTGATACGTTTTGATATATTCACTTTTTTTGAACTTTTTGTTTTCAACACATTTTAACAGATTTTTGAATTGCAATACAGGAAGCAATCTTGTGTGCCTGTAGATTTTTACTTTTGTATTTTGGCCTTATGAATTGCCTTTTTATGACAGTATATGTTTGTTTTGGAATTTTTTCGAAAAAGCTTTGCATTTTTTTTGGGAAGAACTTTTTTGAGAAGAAGTGAAATTTGTTGAAGCCAATATTTGGAAGGCATTTGAAGTTTGAAATTTTGTTCTCAGAGACAATCCATTTTCAGGAAACTTTTGTAAAATATTGGAAAGTAATTCCTGCGAGTACTGCTTTTTATTTTCTGTGAGATTGGGTTCAAATCTTCACCAAGTCTATGGAAGAAGGTAGCCAACGCTCGGCTGAATGTCGTGGCTTTCCCTCGCATTCTACTGCAAGAAATGTTATTGTTATGAACAACACCGTGAGGTGATTAAGGTAGTGGTGGGCCATACTATCGAAAAAGTATCGAAATCATTGATACTTACAAAAGTATCGATACTTTCGATATTCGCAAAAAGTATCGGTAATTCGATACCACTTGAGCCTGCGATCCAATCGCTTAATATTTCATGAAGGCAACAGACTGAAGGCAAAAAATGTTGACATGATGCTGTTCTCAAACAAAAACATGTAGCTAATTAGCAATATATTTAAGGAAAACATTGAACACGTTGATATTGTTTAGATTTAAAATCATAAGATACAAATGTTATGTTCGATTATTTGGCAGGTACTCCAGTTAGAGTATTCTTTGATTTGTTAACATTAATGTTCTTGTTTTAAAAGTTATTTTAATAAATGGAAAGAATTGAGTATCGGTATCGATTTTGGTATCGGTATCGACCAAAATTCATGGTATCGGACTGGTATCGTATCGAAACCAAAAAAGCTGGTATCGCCCATCACTAGATTAAGGCATTTCTCAATATAAAGATTGTTATCATTAGGGTGGCTCAATTTAGGAGACAAGCATAGGAAAATTTCGGATTTACGTCTGGCTTGTACAGAACCAATTTTTTTAAAGGTACAATGTAAGTGTTAAGGCAATTATAACATAATGTTGATGTACTGATGTACAAGTAGTAAACCCCCAATGCCTGAAGAGTGACCACATTCTGTAAATGTAATAATGTCGAACATTGCTAACGAGTTTTGCTTCAATTTTTCTCCAGAACACAGAAATATGCCTTTAGAGGACGCCATTCTTCTTGTTAGTCGTAATTTTGACACGTATATGCAAGCTCTTCGAGATCGTGAGCTTAGGCCGGCTCTTCCTGCCGACCCGCATGCGCCGAAGAAGGGGTACCCTGGTACCCCCGGTGCCGTGAGCTCGGTCGTACCTTCGCCATATTCTCGCGAGGTTAGCACACTTTTGAACATCGCCGCAGACGGAAGACCTCTGACTGTTGATGAATATACTTTGGTGATTGACGAGTTTACCAAGCTTCGGAATGATTTACTTAAAAAAGAAGGAAGAGTGCCACCCTCTCCTGCAGGTAGGTGATAATCATTTTGGTTTTGTAGAAAATACCATCAAAATTTTTTTTGGAGAAGCTACCATCTGTGATACCCGATGTTCCTCGGTGAAAATATAGTAGTTGTGTTGGTCATCTCCCAGAACGTGTAATAGTCTACCCCTAATTTTTCGTAAATATTTTTTGCACTTTTTGTAAGTAGTAAAATGATTTATAGATTACCTTAATCTGAACAGGGAAAGTTCCATCATTATTAAATGTCAATAATTCATAATTTAATTGGGTTGGAAAATGTTTGGATCCTTAAGTAATGAAAGAGAATAAAATTTAAAATATCCACACTGGAACACTACTTTCGAGTTGAAGATTTCATTTAGTATATTGTGTACATTTTATTGAAATTTAATCTTTAAGATTGATGGAAATTAAAATTATAGATATTATAAAGCAGATGACTACATTTTTGCTAAAAGTTGTAATAAGTGCAAGCTACAGTTAAAACGTAAAATATGCGTGGAAGAACTTTTATTAATTTATTGGCGGTAAGACTAGGGTAGAAATAGGTGTTCTTAAAACGTAACTCATGTGGGCACAAAAATGACTGGTTTAGAGAAGATATGGATTGTTTCAACATTGTTTGGCTATGCAGTAAGTAAAATCAAGCAGGTATGATTTATTACCTTTCAAATACGAGGGCATTTATGGCAAAAAGGGCCTTACCACCTAATGGAGTTTATTGGAGTATTTACCGAGTAAATACACCTTAAATATTATACAGACACTTTTCGCACTAATTTCAGATTAGAAATATCTAATTTAATATGATAAAGATTGGCGTTGAGAGGCTTTTTGTACACTATACGACTAGGAAAATATAAATTTTCCGATGTGTTTAATGTTCAAAAAATTCATATGAAATCGTATACGACTGTTTCCTGGTTATTAATTTGGTTGTAAATTTGGTGACAATGTAATATGTGATCTGTAATGATCAATAAGTCGATCAATATAATGATCAATATTGCGTTATAGTGATGGGTGTTTTTCGTTGCTAACCAGTTTGAATTATATTCTCTCTAGGTTCTGCTTACCAGCCTTATGCCACTGACCCACAATCGATTGCTCTACAACAGGCCGAACTTCAGGCGAAAATTCTGAGTATTCTAAATCCAAGCACAAAACTAACCACAGAGAACAAGCCAACTTCCAATGACGGAGCAGTTGCCAATTCAAAACCCTCTATCCCAGTTTTGACACCATCGAACAGCGCATCAAATGCGTTCAAGGCCCCAAGTGCGCCTGCGCAAAACCCACCGCAATCCCAAACAAGTAATATCATTGGTATGGCTTTATCAAGTATGCGCGGTGGGGCAACATCCCAGAGTGGAACCCCTACCCACACCTCTGCTCAGGGGTCAACTGCAAACCCCTCCTATCCAGGTGCAAAACTTTCTTATTCTGGTGCAGGCTCTTATTCTGGCTATCCTTCACCCACTGGTCAGTCATGGTCGCAGGCTCATTATCGTAGTCCAGCTCCCAGTCCCTCGCAACATCGCGGACCAGCTCCCAGGCTCTCTCAACATCGCGGACCAGCTCCTAGTCCCTCTCAACAAGCGCGGCCAACCGGAAGTCCTGGATACCCAAGATACCCAGGGGCAGGACAAATGAACAATCGTGGTGGGTATCGTGCCAGTTATCCAAACAGTTACCCACCACAAGCAAGATATTAGACACTCGTGTTTTATTTCGAACTCCTAGCTTGGGGAGAGGTCCTTTACATTAGGAGACCAATTGTTGAATTGGAGTTGTGTTCCAACAACATGCTCCTATGCTTCCAGATATTTGTTAAAACAAGTTCCATTTTACATGGATATTATCTGGAATGCTTGTGTTCCAAGTTATTTTATGATGTTTTTAAACACGAAAGGCTTTTGCCTGTATAGTCAGGAAGGAAATTCGCAATACGTAACAAATATACTAACCATATCACATATGCTTTTATTGGGATTTGGAATGTATTTTACTATCACTCAATCTAATGTTTCAATGTATATTTTCAGATGTTTTTAATCCCATGCTTTTGCTGGTATTTTGACTTTCTATAAAGTATAACCGTTTCCTTCTACTATATGCCGTTATTGGTATTCTGTATGTTGCAAAGTACGACGCTGACCCGGATCGGCGACCACTGGTCAACAAAGGGGGACTACAGAAAATTTTTTTAAAATTCAAAAAATGCCTCAACCTACTCCAAATTTCTGGAAATTGTCGAGAACCATTTCTTTCATCAAAACAGTCGATTTTGACTGATAAAAACATTTTTTTTGAAATTTGGTCAAATGCATAGGGGACTATCCATACTTTGTGAATTGCCCTTCCTGACTATATTAGTCTGTCTAAATTACTAGATAAATTACTTGTACAACAGCTCTGTAAACTAGAATAAAGACAATAAACATGTATGGACGTATTCATAATTTTTTATTTGAACAGAAGTGTCAAGGTTGAAACTTTTATGTAATGTTAGAATTTGTGTGTATTTTTACACCGAAATGCGAAATATCGTTAAAGATATTGCATTAATTGTATTTTAATTTTTTAATCAAAGAGTTATTGTAGTGTGTAATACAATACGTCTTGAATACGCTGAATAGTTAACCAAGATCGATTTATGAAATTGCTACTTTTAGGTTATGTATATATAAATAGCATTGTACTTTGCAATTTAATGCTTTTTATGTTATATACAAGCAAATAAATGTCTTTGGTCAGCACACGTTGGCAGACACCTCTGTTACATTCGATTGCCCTCGGGCGTCAGGTGTATCTACTTGACTCCAGTCTCTTGAATGCCTCGTCTAGTCTACTGCAATCTTGTTTAACTTGTTGTAACACTTGTTCCTAAAAACATAACAATTTAAAATTTTCATGCGCCATTTCTTACTTGACCAGTGTTTTGTCAGGTACCCCGGCCAGAGGACCTTTGGTGATTCATGATGGATAGTGGGAGCACTCTTGCATGTAACCGAGGCGAAATTATAATCACACAATAGAGAAGTTCAGATTTGACTTCCACTATCTCTCACTGGTTTTGTACCCATCTGATTGGTTAACTGGATATATCAAACGAATCTGATTGGTTAATTGGATATATCAAACGAATCTGATTGGTTAATGGTCTCTTATTGGTAGCGGTAGTGAAAGTCAACTCTCTATTAACACATTGTTACAGCTACAGAGGCCAGTTGTCGAGCTCTAACTGCAAGTTCATGTGTACATCTATTAACTGAATTCAATAGCTGTATACTAAAGGTGATGTGCAATTGTAGGGTGCAGTGTATGCCCAAATCCTGATATTTACCCAAGGGGACGTGTCCCAGGGGGGGGGGAGTAATACATTAAATACTTGTCATCACATACTTAATAATAACAGTAACTCCGAATAACATTTTAATTTTAATCGACGTTTCGACTAGTTTGTAGTCTTCCTCCGGATTAATCCTGAGGAAGACTACAAACTAGTCGAAACGTTGATTAAAAATCAAAATGTTATTCGGAGTTACTGTTATTTTGTATTTTCTTAAAATCCTGAGTGGTTCCCGTAATCACATACTTGTTCAATCTGTTCCCTGGTTTGTGGTCCGGCAGCAGAGTCAGGATATTGATCATCAGTATTTGGATAAGCTCCAATGATTCCTTCGCTACACAGACGTTTAGGTTGTGGTTCTTCGTCATCTAGTTTGGCATAGATTGCTGCACGAACAGCATCTCTGTCTTCTTCTGTTTTCTATAGGCAATATCATAGATGTTCTACACTATAATGCAATACGCTTTGGGGCCGATTTTATATCATTGACGTCATTGTCGTTCAACCAAACCTGAAATCAGCTCAATGAATCGTAATGCGCCCTCGCCTCTGCCTTGGGAGTGCTCCAAAGAGGTGCACCCCTCGACGTTACTTGCCCGCTAGGGGGAAATTGTTAAGCGGACTTGGAAAAGTATAGCCTATAGGTTTAAATGTAAAATGTGCAACTCGCCTGTTTTCGCACTTTCGGATTAGGATCGTCATATGCCCATCTTACGTTCAAAACTTCTTGACCATCTAGTTTTTGATCCGACATCGCAATCTATTGTGAAGTAGATCATGTAAACTCTACAATGATTGATGTAACCTAATACTTTATCACTAGTAGTACAGTAATTAAAACGATTATAGTAGTACAGTAATTAAAACGATTACAACAGTAGTACAGTAATTAAAACGATTACAACAGTAGTAAAGTAATTAAAACGATTACAACGGGTTACCTTAGCAAATTCGCTGTTTACTCTGTTCTTGTATCTCACAAATGCTATTTGACGTTTTGAAATAACTCTGATATCCTACAAAGTCAAAAGGTATACACACTATGCACATATACAAAACGAGGAGTCGTCAGGCAAGCGTATAGACTATAGTTGAGTCCTAAAACTGTCTGTACCAGTGTAGGTAGTACCAATGTGAAAATGCTGTGCTGAGTGGTTATATTACTACCTTAAAAAATAAGCAGAAACTCGACGTTTCGAGCGAAGGCCCTTCGTCAAGAGTTAGTAGTCTCTCTTCGTCAAGAGTTAGTTTATAGTTGAGTCCAACTGGTGTATATTCGTTAAATCATGGGAAGATATTAAAGGATTCGCGCACTGAGGTGCTTCGCACCCTATTTGCGCAACTGCTCGCGTAACTTAAATGAAATTTTTTTGCGCACCGTGTTGGGAGAGCGCGCAAGTTAGGAGGGCAAACTAAAGATGAAACACAATGTAGTGAAGTTCAGATTTGACTAGCGCTACTTTTTACTAAGTACGCATGTGATTGGTTATCCGGTAGATTAAACTCATCTGATTGGTGATAAACTGATTATTTTTGGTAAACTCATCTGATTGATTGGTAGTAGAAGTAAAACCTCACTAATAATAAAACTGGATATGCAAATTCAATCCTAGCCATTTCGCTCCCAGTGTTACAAACGCTTGACATGCGAGCAAACGAACAAGCGTAAAAATAGCACAGCTTGACACCCAATACCTCAATTTCACCCCATTCTCCAAACTCTTTCCACAAAATATTTTCCAGTTCCTTGTGTTTTCCCAAACGGCCAACATATAATGTTCGACAGTCTTTCTCAAACGACCCCACGCCTCCCATATTGTCGCTGTGTAACTTGTGTCTTTCTCTGCCAAACACATCGTGCACCATATCTATCCTGTTGGGGTAAAGCAAGGTGTGTGTAATGAGGGTATCCAACTGATAGTGGCCCCTCCTTAAGTCTGGCTGTACACCCCATCTCCCTCCTCAACAACTCTGGGCAGATAACTATATAGGTTTATTTTCTGCATATTGGGAGGGGGACTGGGGTAAGGGGGATATTCATGTGGATGGTATCAAAAAGAAAGGGGCAAAGGTGAATGGTGTCAGATGGTTGGAGTACTCAGGTGTATGATGTCAGTGGGGAGGAGGTACTAAGGTATCAGGGGGGATCTCACGTGAATGGTGTCAGGGGAAGGACTAAAGTAAATGGTGTTAGGGGAGGAGGGACTTGGTAAATGGTGTCAGGGGGAAGGGATACTCAAGTGAATGGTATCAAGAGGATGGTGCAGTCAGAGGGAGGGGATACTCAAGTGAATGGTATCAAGAGGACGGTGCACTTAGAGGGGGGGGGGACTCCCCAAGATTACCGTTTTGCATCTTTATCAGTTGGTACAAGATGGTAGAAGCCACATTCAGAACCATGTTGGCAACACCCTCTTGCAAAGTATATACAAAAATAAGTCTTTTTTCTTTTTGGATCAAGTAGTTTAGCCTTAGTATGCCCAGCATCTTTGCTAACACAGCATCTGGTCTCTGCAGGCCCTAGAAAAATGAATAGTGTATTCAGAGTAAATATTTATGAAAGAAATAAAAATTTGTTAATAAGGTGTCCATTGGATAATGTTATAAATTAACTGTATTAATCATGACTACAATAAATAAACCACAGTATCCCAAAAGTCTACCTTCATCTTTTGTGCCCTTCCAATGGTCCCCAATCCACTTATCATACCATATGTTGTACTCATTTGCCCCTTCAGGTCTCCAGTGTATTTTCTTTGCTTCATCCGGATCAATTTGTCGTCTTGCTTCTCTCTTTCCATATTCAGTATTCTTTATCTCAATTTCATTGGAAGTTTGCCGAAATATAGAAAGCCCTGAACCGTGACTACTATCATCATTTGTCTGGATCTCCTCCCTATTAGTTGGCCAAGAGTCCCACCCCTCTGGCTTTTCCCACTGTGTAGTGTTCGTCAGTAAGTTTTGATAATACCAGTAACCAGATTGGTAATCATACAGTTCGCGCCAACAGCTACGCTCTTCAAAAGGACCCTGCCCTTGATATGCTGCATTAAAAGTGCTGCCATATGACATTGTGTTTACAGTATTGCCATAATAGTAATTTGTATTAGTATGATATGACTGTCCAGCCATTATAAATAAAATAGAAAATCTTGCAAAATATTTATAAATAAAAGGTCTTACAAACTATTTTCCATGTTAATATAAGAGCAGATTTTTTCTTCTTTTGTATCTTGAAGTATTATATTTTGTATTTGGCTTTAAAACCATTAAAAGTTCTGATATATTTTTTTCTTTATTGAAAACATCAACAAATTATTTTGTTTGACGAGAGGCAATACTTCAATTTATAAAATTGAAGTGGTTCCGCGGTTATTGGCGGCAAAATATTCATAATTCATAGTATATTTTGAAATACTAAAATATATTGGTAAAAGTCTTTATTTAATAAGTAAGCTACAGCAAGAAAATAGATTATAAGGTACTTTGTATTAAATGAAAGGAAGAAAAACTAACCAGCAGGAAAATTTTAAGCTAAATTTTGTTTTTTTTTACAATTTTTTCAGGATTTGCGGCATTTGCCGAGATGATCCGACGATTTCCGATGTGTTTTGCGAAGAAAGTGATAAACAAAGATGGCGGGTGATTTGAATAAAAAAGGAGTAGAAAAATTGACTTCATCGCAACGTGCTGCTGGGTCTGTTCGTATCCTACCAGGACATGTGTTGGTGAATGAAAAATACCAAGGCTCAGTGTTAGTCAAGGTTTTACAAGGTACATAGTTGTTTGTTTTTGTGGTATCGTCTCAGACCTCTCAACTTTGCGGAGAAGTTAAGAGTGAGATTGGGGATGTGGATGACACCTTTGTAAAAGTCCGGGGCCGGGGGTCTGAAATGGCATTTCGTACATTATGAGAGTTGGTGTTTTTTAATGAAATACGTCATTGCTTCATAACGTCCTTTATTGAGACAAGGCACTATAACTGTATTTCTGTGACATACAGTAATGAGCTTTAATTTGCGTGATAATTTACATATAGAATTCTGCTCCGACTCATTCTGCCTTTTGTCCGCCGTATTTACATATGCGTACTATTTTGTATCCATGCAAATTGCGGGCAAAAGCCAAAATGTCAGGCCATATATGCAGGAACAATAACACACGATTATATATTCGATTAGCAATCCGTATAATGATTAATAATGTGCATTTATTAAGAATACAATATTATATTATTGAAAATATACTATGAAACTGCTATATGCGTGAGATTAACTAATCGTGGCGTGAGAGCGTGAGAGTGAAGCGAATTGCGTGAGACTCACGCCGAATGTGTGAGAGTTGAGAGGTCTGTCGTCTGTTTTTATCATATGCATGTTCAAAGTTTTATCATTCTACTTTAATTCTCAACAATCAACACTATACTGTACAACATTGTACAGTAACCATAGTGTTATTTTCTGTGGCTGAGGAATGAAAGAGGCAGGAAATCATTTTCTCGCACTGCTGGGGGACTGGGTCTAGGGTGGGGTCAGGGTTGTCAGAGTCTGATAGTCACTTCTTTGCTTGCCTCGTGCTAGCCTGACCTATTTTAGTTCATTAAAGGTCAGGCTTCGCTTATGTGTGCAGCATCCCTCAGCAGTGTGTGCATGAGAAAGAATATTTTTGCAGAAGTGGATACCTTCCATGACATTGAAACACGATAAGCTATAGAAATCATATAAAGAACAAATCAAACATACTAGTCATTTTTGTTTCAGGAAACCAATCGCAAAACATACTGCAAAAGCAGCCTGGGCCTAATTCATTATTCATTCATTTATTACAGGAAGTGTTAATGTTGTGTTTGAAAACCTTGGTTTTATGGATTTTCGGCCTTTGGGTGATGTTGGTGTTTTGTTTTTGAATGAATCAGAGTTGATTGGTGGAACTAGCTACAGACAGAGAATTGTAAAATTAGCTAAGGTAAGGTTCAATTACTATTCCTGTCTTTATGATTGGATGCGACTGGCGAAAAAGATAGAGTGGTTAATGGTAGTTGCATGCATTCATAACCAAAATCACTTACTAGCTCACATTTAGCGATGTTATGGCTGGGCATCTAATCTACTTCACACCATTTTAGATCCAAACCATTCGAGGACTTGTGCTTTATGAAAAGACAGCGATGACTGAACAGTATTGTGAACAACTTCAGAAATTCACAGCTATCAATGTTGGTCTAAATCTCTATCCTGTCAGCTCGCAAGAGGAAGTCGCTAAATTTCTTATACAAATGGTACATGTTGTTGTCAATAGACAACTTGCATGTTAGACAAATTTTTTATTTAGGCAACAAAAAAACTAAATTCCCGTAAAGAACTTATTAAAATCAGTAAAATTGCAAAATTTGGTTGCAAAATGTTGTAAAATGCAGAAAATATAGCCTTGCGAAGTTTGCAATTTTCAGTCATTTTGTATTACGTGCGAAAATTGTTACCATGTTTTCGAGCCGAAAATGGTAACAATTTCCGCACGTAATACAAATATACTGAAAATATGCAAACTTTGCAAGGCTATATTTTCCAAGCTTTACAACATTTCGCAACCAAATTTTGCAAATTTACTAATTTCATTATGTTCTTTTTAGCTGTGGTGTTTGATTCCCTTTTCTCTGCTTAGATTAAAATTTAGTCTAACATGCAAGTTGTCAATTACAGTGGTTTCATTTGTGCAATATGCAGTTGTCATAGTCTTTGCTTGTGTATTGCATGGGAGAAGAGGGCTTCAATTAAGGGATAGACCTCTCTAAGCCTTTCAGGAGAACAGTTTAGAACTGCTGATGGAACTATCCTGTAACATTTATTCAATTACAATCTCTGTCAGTCTGTGCAACAGTTGTGTTAAGGGGATGTGTTGGGTATAACCAAACTAGCCTAGCCATGTTTATTTTTTTCCATTTGAAGGTCAACCTGAGTGGTAATCCAAGAAGTAATCAATTTTTAATCAAGAAATCACAGAAACCAATAGATCAAGCTCTCCTCTTCACTTTACAAACTGTTCCTGGACTAGGAGAAAAGAAAGCTCTTGCTTTGCTACAACGATTTGGTAGTGAGTCTTGATAAGATTGGTTCTAGTATTGTGCCCAGTAAATTCAGAAAAGTTTGTCTTAATTGTTATAGTTTTCTCACTAACAATGCTAAATTATAATTATTAATTTCTAGATTTAAAAGATTTGAGCCAGGCTTCACAACAGGTAAATGACAACCTTGTGTTAAACTAGCCAAACACAAACATGTTCATTATGGTATTTATACCCTTGAAAATTGTCTTGACCTGTCTTTTCGTCTCCAAGTTGACTTGAAGTGCGTCTCAACCTGTCTTTTTGCATAAAAGATTGCATGATTATAAATGCCATTGGATTGTCAATATAGACCAAGCTTTGTTTGTGGAAACACCACGTAAATTTATTACCGCAAAGCTTTCAATCCGTAAGCCCGGATCTTCATCAGTGTTAATAATATGAATTTTGTTTTGTTCCGCAAACAAAACTATTATATTTTATCGCCATGCAAACATACAAAGAACTTATAGACCAAGCTATTCTAAATGCAACACTTTCTCTGGATATGTAGTAAGATCGCTGCATATTTTCAAATTGTATAATATGCTAATGGTGTCTGCCTAAAAAGAATTGTTTTAATAAAATACTGTACTGTACATTTACTACATTAAAAATAAATATTTTTCACAACAGTAGACCACATTCATAATACAGATGGGTTTAAATATTCTTGTATATTCATCTTATTGATGAGCCTTCTTGATGTCATTTCTGTGACTGGAATTTCTGAAGCTAAATGAGGGGTCTAATTAAGATAAGCACATAAAAGAACATTTAAATTAAACAGATCTAGTTGTCTATTAAATATTTTTGATTTTTCTAGGACATTTCAAAGGTTGTTGGTGATGCTTGTGCACAAACAGTCAAATCATTTTTTGGTTGTCCACCGAGATAAGACCAGAATCCAACAACGTGATTCTAGTGAATGAACACATCATGAAAACTGGAACAGGGTGATGACAATGTAAATTGTGAGATGGAAGCAACAAAATGTCTAGGTATAACTAGAACTTTGCCTAGTACATATTTTGTGAGCAACCAACATTTGACCCAAATTGGACCAAGTTTGATGGGTACGGTATTCCAACCTGGACCAACAGACAAGGTATGCAATGTCATACCCAGGCTCTTTCCTCTATGCCAAGAGCCTTCAGTTGGTACAAGGTTTGGTACGTACTGAGACAGAGTAATACAGTCATGGTGTTTTTCAAGAATATCAGTCATGGCAAAGTTCTTGTCTTGAGTCTGCAAAACACACAGAGTTTCTTCTTCTCAGCATTGTCAACTTGAGTGATAGAAAATTGCTTCTCACATTTTTGACACTATATAAGAGGAAAATATGCAGTGTATTTAAAGATAACAAGAGAAAGAGACAAATACTCTGACACTTAATTTATAATCTCGTTCTGCAAGAGCAAAAATAGCTGCTGATGAACAGTAGCCTGTTTGATACAGATACATGCTAATGACAAATCAGAATAAAAAGTCAGTGATGGCAAATGCACGTCATGTATATATAGCATCTCAAAACAATTATTTTGAGCAAAGTTTAATTAAAAATGTTTGCACAAGTGAAACGCAAAAATCGTGGCTACAGGACAAACCTTGATTATTCTCAATCCCATGTTCTTCTTATGTTCCAAAACAACTGGCAGATCATCCAGATTTTTAATGTTCCATAGTCGGATAGTTTTATCCTATATGAAAATCAAATTTAAAACATACAGATTTCTTTTAGCCCCAAGTAAATTATTAGATATACTGATACAGGGTGTTAGCTACAGTCAAAAATTCGGTGTTAAATGCGGTTTTCCCAATTACATTCAGGTCGCAATTTCCCAACTTAGGTCAGCCAAAAAATAGTTCTATTATAAATATTCAGTTACTTTTTCCCAATTGCAATTAAACGCTGATTTTTTTACTTCTGGCTAACACCCTGTGATAAATCAGATTTGTAGACAATCTGTATACTTATGTAAAGGTATGTAATTCTTGTGCACAGATACAATAATTTATATTTCTGCTTCATCATTTATAAAACAAACCTGTGAACACGAAAGGACCCACTTCTGATCTTTACTAAATGCAGCATCATTTACCCAACCATTGTGACCCTGGAACCAACACATAAAAAATAGATCAATGGTTTGAACCACTAAGGCGTGGCCATTACTACTCTCTCTCCTTGGTGAATACAACAACTAAATACCTTAAGTGAGAACTTCTGGACTGAATTTGCAACATCCCAAACCACAAGATTTTGATCAAATGATGATGACACTAACATTTTATCTGGAATGGAAAAGTGCATCAAATTTTAAAACAATTCATGCCTACATGGGTATCTACGCCAAAGACATACCATCTGTACTGAAACAGCAAGAACTGACAGAGCCTTCATGACCTTTTTTGAGTGTGACTGGTCCCGTTTTTCTGAAATGTAAGATTGAAAAGTACTATAAAAGCAACAACCCTTAGGGCCATATCAAGCATTATGCATGCATGAGAACTAACTTCACCTGTGCAAAATATACTGTTTAATTAACCACAGTACAATTTACCTGTATGTTCCTGATGAGACATCCCATAACTGAATGTTCTTGTCCCAGGAAGCTGTGGCCAATATTCTTTCATCATTTGAAAATGATGCATCTGATATGACATTGCCATGCCCTCTATATAATTAATAAAACATTAATGCACCAATACACCCTTTCAGAAAGTATGCACACCTTGACTATAGATTGAGCCTTATTTTTGTGATTGTGACGGACTTTGACTATTATTGAGTTGAACGCATGTAATTAGGGCCATTTGACCACTCGAAAAAAGTAGGATTCATTTAATGTAATTGTATTGATAGCCATATCCTCCTTGCATGCACCTATGAAAAACACTCAACTGGAAAGTGGCCCTAAGCTAACAAAATGTGGTGCATTGTGTCTTAACCTATTAAGCTGCAGAGCTTCCCCATTGATGAGTAAAGTCGTCTGGCATTGGACAAGTAAAAAAATAAGTACAGGGTGCATTGTGGGTTATTGGGTTGATTCTCAATTTGAGTAGGAGTTTATGTGTACCAAGATGAAATTCCTGATTCGCTCATACCTGAGGGTCAAACTGGCAGTGTATTCATCCTTGTACATTGACATATCAATCACTCTGGTTGTTTGGTCCATGGATGTCACTGTGAGTCGATGTTGATTTTGTGAAAACTTGCAGCTTGTTATGGTATTTGTATTATCTATCCAAAAAGGTGTTAATATTTTAGACCTGTTGGATTCGGCCAGAGGGTCTATATATTTGCGCCCCACAACCACTCCCAATTTTATCTCTTTAAATTAATATACCTACATTTTAGTTTTCTTATGAGGACTCCATCCTTGGCATCCCATATACTGATAGAGAAATCCATATCACCACCACTTACAATGTACTTGCCATCACTTGAATAATTACAGCTTGTTAGAACTCCTTCATGACTTGCCTGCCACTGAAGAAAATTAAAACCACATTACCTCCTCCAATTAAATAGGTACACGATTTTAGGGCCAGGGGTCATCTATAATTGTACCAATATTTTAACAAGTGTACAAAGCATACAGGGGGGTGGGGTTAGTGACCACAGTGTGGACATAGGAAGCAGCCCCCCCCCCCCCAACACTAATTATAGAGGGGGGGCCGGAAGAGCTTTCAACCCCCATGCCCCAAATAATTGAATTTTAAAATAAATTGTGCTGATTGACCATGTTAATTATTATAATCCATCCTGACTCACAGATAGCATATACTAGTTGACAAATCATAATGAATGAGTCTAAGAAAAGAGAGGTAGAGAAGACTCTGAGAATGCCATTTCTGACGATCTAGAGATGCAAAGATGAGCAAATCCTCAAAAAGGAGTATTAATTCTCTCATGCTTGTGAAAATGTTGATAGTCATGACCCTTTTTCCATCAAGGGATTATAGGATGGTCTAGATAGCTGTTTTGCCCCTGCCTATAAATTAGTACCCGGTACATTGTTTTTATGCCTTTGTTTTACCATTTGTGTATATATTATTGATATATTATTTAGTGAATATGAAATTACCAAGATTTGTCCGGTGGTCACATCTCTGACAAGCATACGTTTGTCCCATCCTCCTGATACCATTCTAATGAAACAGAGTTTGCACTTGATCTAAGGATGTGTCTCCCTAATACTACAGGAAACTGCATTGCTTATTAATTAACCTACTACAATTACCAAACATTCACCTTTTATTCAACATATCAACATGACAGCTTGTCACAAATGAAGTGTGCCCATCATATGTGCATAACTGCTTCCCAGACTCTGTTGCCTGGTTCAAGTAAAATTATTTTATATCACTGATTATCATTATATATTTTTGTGTATCACTATATTTTTCAAAATGTGATTATCAATATGGGGGGGGGGGGGTCAGGGAAGAGTGCCAGGCATTAATAACAGGACAGATTGCTTAAGTTATACTGCTCCCAAACTCCATAACTCTGAGCCAAGTATAAAAGTTGCCTGGTTTGCTAGTTCAGGTTAGGTTTGGGGTTAAGGTAGCTAGGGTCCAGTCCAACTAGCAACCAGCAGTAGCGTAGCCAGCCCGGCTATTTGGTCCCGCTATGCAAATATTTTCATG